CATCAGAGTCGGGGTTGAATTCTTCAAATCTGTAGATTGCTGACGGAATCGCCATCCTCTTGAGAATCCTCTGGGGTTCTTCGCTTTTCACACCACGACGCACCACGCGTCTCGCTTAGCACCAACCACGTTTTAAATTTTTTTTTTTAACTTTTTAAATCCTCGTTGCCATTTGAAGTGTTCGTGTGGTTAGATAATTAGCCGCGTTACTCTCGATATAAAGGGTATATTACATACATAGAAATAACATATTTATGACCGTTTGTTCCGACCATTCTAAGGAAGCCTTAGCGATAATTATTCCTTGAAATTAAATTTTTATATGGAGATATGTCATTTTGAGGAATACTTATCGCTAAGGCTTCCTGGGAATGGTCGGTGCAAACGGCCATTAGGTACTAGGTACCAAAATTGGTTTAACAAAGGACAAAGCTGAGGTTCGCGGGCGGGTGCATTTCTGGTGCTTTCTTTAGGTGCCCAAAACTGACTGTCATTCCTCGGTAGTATGGCCTTCTAGGTAATCTCCCAGTCTGCAGCGTTGCGCTGTTTTGCGCAACTTTATAGATATGTCATAAGGAAAATGAAACTGACAGTGAAGAAGGTGTACAACTCACAAAAGACTCGCATAATAACTAAGAACAACGAAAGCCGTATCGATTTACTGATAGAAACCAGCCGAATTCGGGAGTAAAATTCATCTAGGTCCATGCGTCAGTATCAACCCACGAAGTCGAAGGAACAGATGCAATATATTAATTAGTTCACTGGTCAAAACTTTTTCAGAACCGAAAAAAGCTTAACACCTTACTTAAAAGCCCTCAATCTTTTGTAGCTCTCATATATGGATTAGATACCACCTTATAACGAACATTTTTTTCCTGTATAAAAAATTCCTATAAGAGAAGTCCAATGATTTGTAACACTTTTATTTTACGTAAGAAAAATCAATTACCAAAATGTAACCTTATTTGGATTGCGACCTTAGTTCAACAGAGTTTGTTAAAGTGTCCACGTGCCCGGTTCGTGGATTCGTGCGCCACCAATTTTTGAAACTAAATCGGAAAAGTCCTGCGATGACTGCAGGTTGAACTAAAGTACAAACCAAATTATTATGCCTGAAATGTAGGAAAATAATTGGATAAGCAAAAAGACAAAGAAAGCAGGTAATTGGCAATACAACAAAATCAGTATTTATTGAATATTAAGTATTGATTTAGTACAAGTTATGGTGATTAAATAATGATTATGACAAGTATTCAGAGGCTAGTATGACGACTAGCAGGAATAAAGAACCTAAAGGCTTCTTCATAGTCAGATTTAAGAAAACTGTCTGTCGGTATTGATATGTATGAATACCTATGTAAGCAGAGAGCTATACTTAAAACTAAAATAACCAATAAATGCGAATTAACACACACCCAGCGTCAGTGATCACTCCGCAAATAAATGGGGTCAAATGTTTACTTAAATGTGAGTGACTAAAGTTACCTAAGCCATATACGATATTTTTAAATAATTAATAAAAAAATTACACTAAACTACTTAGCTTTATGCCGACAATTAACAATGGGTCTGGGATTTCACACTCGTACCAGATGATCTATCTCATCAATGAAAACTAGTTCGCCGAGTCTTTGCTATTCAGATACAGTGGTGGGTACTGCATACCATCAAAACATCCACTGAGTTGCGTTATCGAAAACGGTAGCATAAAACCGTACCATAAGACCCTCGTGGATTTTTGAGGGCCACAGCTCAAAGGTTGAAGGTGAAAGGAACGTCATGGAACTCTAATTTCACCTACACTGGCTGATCCAATTTGGAAGTTCACAATAACGAGCAACAATAAAATCAAGGCTCTAAGAGTCTAGGTTCAAGCAATTCAATCCAAGCGACGTGAATGATATTCGACTAGAAGAAATAGATAAATCCCTTAGAAAGGTGATTTGGCTGCCAAAAGGTAACAAAAACCAAAACTAGACTGGCAAAACCAAAATTGAAATTATCTGGATGACCGGATCCTAATTAAATAGAGAAAATCACTTAATTTTCTTTATGGTCAACCGGATAAAAAAACTATCCTTCAGGCCAAAGCCAAAGTGTTCTTGTCGCTGGACGAAATGGAAAAGACCGTTGTACGATTTTTGGGACCCTAAACCAGAAATTACTAGATACGCACTAACTTTTTTTTATGTTACATATTTTTCTATCGAATTCCACATTCCACACTTTAGGAAGGATTGAAAGATAACGACAAAGATATCGATAGTCGTCAGCGAAACCTCCAAAGGGACTCAACAAATGGAACCGACTCAATCCACACAAATCAGGAAAACACTATTCTCGTTAAAATCTATAAATAACTTCACTTATTAAATAATATTGTCCATGCCTTCTCTAACACGACACCAATTATATCGACATTTATAGAAAAACCCAACCCTACGCGATCAAAACCAAAGTACCAGCAAATTGATCGATATAGGTACTCGATAACAGGTAAATAAAAGAAATGAAATCCTCCAGTAAGAGAGAGACAGAGAGGGAGTGAAAACTAAAGGAATTAATCCTTCGAAATGAGCTGGCGCGAAAATAAAATTGAATGACAATTAACTGGACATAACCCCTTTTTATTTGAAAATCAAAACAATGTTGGCTATCGACTAATGAAATTGATAATTTATGTATATTCCTTTTAAGGACAACAAGAATAAGATAACCAGGCATTGTTCAATAAATATTCATCTGCAATGGTCAACTAAATCATTAGACAAATGATAAGGAGCAAAATCTTGTCTGGCTGTGCCTGAAATTATCTAAAAAGATGCAGAGTAAGGTAATTAATATCCAATCAATTAAGTCAGCTCTAAAATAATATTTGTGTGTTACCAGTTAAAACGCTGAATTACTCATTTAATGGGAAGAGCAAAATTAAAATGTTACAGATTATCGAAAAATTAGAGCGAAAATTACAGCCATTAAATTTTGTTATTCATTGTCATGTGACACAAATTACCCGATCATATCAACATTATACTGAAAACAGCCCAAGGGTTGTTACTTGTTTTCACTCTATGACGTTGTTTCGGACATTGCTGTCAAACAATTTTCTGTCCGAATAACCTTCGAACATTGATAAATAATGCTCAAAAACTTTATAACAACTTTCTCAAGCTTGTTGCTTATGGAAAACATAGCAACAAGCAACAAGCTTTCGAAATCTGTTACAAATTTTTTTCGGACAATGAGGAATTTGCAGATTTTTTTTTATTCTCTTATTAAATTCTTCACATTGTAAAAAGTGACTTGCCACATAAATTTTAAATTTTGAACTAATAGTTTCTCTGTAAAAAAATATAGAAATTCAAAATAACTGTCTTCGTGCCAAAACGCAGCCTAATCAATGACGTCACAAGACGGTATTCGTCAAAACGAGTCTCTGTACTTCGTCTTTCTCTCTTACCTATTGTGGTTTGTCATTGGTTTATGCGACTATGTCGATCATTGTCATTTTCCATTCATTAAACAAAGATAGTGTTACGTCAATTCTCTTCCAGTGAACTCACACCTGACAAGACTCACACCCTATATATTAAGAGAGAGAAAGATATAGTGTAATAATGATAGTAACAAATATATATGACTAAATAGGTTATCTTTGTTTTGTTAATGGAAAATGACAATGATCGACATACAATAATGAATCCATCGGTAGAATTCGATGTAAACACAAGCGTCTGACGGCTCACCTATCAAGTTAACATTACCACACTTTTCTTTGTTTACCGTTTTGAATATAAAACAACAGGAAGGAGCATAACCTGGAATCTGCGGGACCAGAATATGTGGAGGTTGCATATGGCTGACTAGTGTTTCCGGTTTGGCAGTGGCGTATATTTATTTAAATATGATTGTCAGTATTATGACTCACTCTTTGCGCACTAATCCCAGTGCTTATTATCACTGAAAACTGCTAAAATCCATTAAACATCCACTTGAATGAGGACACAGCGAACCACCAAAACAAATGATGAGTCAAACTTGGAGGCTCAATATGGCCGCTTCCGTCCCTTTTTTGTTTGTAGTGACAGATAGACAACGCTCCTTCCTGTAGTTTTATATTCAAAGGTTTACCGTTCCATGACGTCATAACCAGTTTGAGAGCGTTTTCGCGCCCTTTGTTATATTCAATATTTGAATAATTAATTATTTATTAATGGTTCAGTATAAAGAGGATTTGAATTTGGAAATATACTTCTAGAGTATTTTACTTCAATTTAAATACATTTTGCATCAAAATAAAATTTTATGCAACTTCCTTATTATCAATGTCCTTGGGCTATTACTACTGATAATTTGCACTGTAGAAACCGAAAGAGCGCACCGATAATTGCATTATTTGTATCCATGATTGAGCAGAACAGATTGCCAAGACTTTATGTATAAAGACCATTAATTAAACCCCTTAACTATGAAGAGTTCGCAAACATAGAGCACCGTTAACTTCAAACCGGCTTTTGAAAGCTTTTAGTTTACGAATCCCCAAACAACTGTAGCTTAGCTTTGCTCTATAAATAAATTATCCTAACTAACCTAAAATAATCAGGTAAGGGCTTTTAACTCGAAATAACAAAGTTTATGAATCCAAAAATCCCCTGCATGAACTCTAACAAAATAAAAAAAATTATAATTAGTTTTTGCATTAACTTTTAATTACAAGCATGACTTTTTATCCCCACTGTCGGCGCCCATGAAACATATATTTGAATAATATTTGATTTCCGGCGGAAATAATAGCTGAGAATATTCTGGAATATTTTTTCGCACTTTACGACGAAGAATGGCTCCAATTCGAAATGGATTCCGACTCGTGTGAGAATTTCTTTAGTTGGTAACAGAAAGGAAAGTAGATTTTATTTATTCGTGCCTCGTGACGTTTAAAAATTATAGCTCAATTGAATCGTAGAACTAAATTTTTCAAAACTTACAATTGTCATCAGATATCAAGAAGACCGAAAAGCACACGAAGGACAGAAATGGAAGTTGCCTCCCCTGGGACAGCCGATAAGCCTCTTTAGCACCGGAGATGACACTAACAGGACCATTATAATGCCACAAGATGATAGTGAGTAAATGTATCGACATTCTTTATTTGTTTCTATAGCTTGTCTTCAAGATTTATAAAAGCGAATTTTCGAGAAAACTCATTTCAGCAACAGATTTATTAATTTTCGAGGAGCCTCGGGTTCGGATTTATGTGTTGATATAAGAATCTTGCCTTAGATCTTAAATAACAAAGGGAATTCAAATCACGAATACTTCACTTACCGCAGCTGCTACTTTTTGCGGTGTGCACAAAGGATTCAATAACGTCGAATGAAATATAAATTTCCATCCTTGTTAAATAAAACAGAGGCTTTATTATCCAATACACAAACTCATCGTGCAATTGTCTAGTTATTTTCAGGGTATATTGTGCCGACCACACCTACTGTACGCTCAGACTTCCAGTAGAAAGTACCACGGAAACCATTAAACTTGTGGCAGCGGACAAACTGAAAATTCGAGAAGACGAACTTATTCTAGTGGAAGTCAAATCGAATGGCGAAAGGGTGGTTTTCAAAGACAACGATATCAGTATACCAACTGCTTTGTCGATCAATGGGAGGATATTTGTGTCCCCGAAGGAACATTTGGATGCTTTGGTAAGGAGTAGTTTTTAATTCATTTATTAAATCATGGTGGGGACTAATTTTTACTATATTTTTTCACTTTATTTTATTAGACAGTAACATCTTTCATCAGACAGTTTGATGAAGCTACACTGTATTTTTTTTGAAAATGGAAACTGCTCTTTATTTATATATTGAACTTGAAATTTTATCCATACCTGGATTATCCAGGTCCAAGCAATATTTATCAAACGAATGACTGAGTTAGAAGATAAGAGCCTATCAAAGGATTTTATGAGCGTTATTCGGGTAATATGAATTGCGTGCATCTCAGTGAAATGATTTCATTCTTTACGGTCCCAAAAATGACAATAAAATCTCCAGTTACTTAACCTTCAACATTAAAGCTAAGCTAGGGCGTAAAACTTTTACAACTATTTTTATGGCTTCTATTTGGAACATTACCTTCAAAGTATTTGATATACGGTAGCAGAAACGATAGAATTTTGCTTTATAATCACGCTCCAGAAATGGGTAATTTCAATTTTTCAGCCAAAATTGACAATTTGTAGCACCAAAGTGTTGTTTCTCTCTACATAAAGGTTTGGATCGAAAACAGATTTAACTTTCACCCATATCCCATATAATTAAAAATTGCCAGGAAATTTTTACATAAAATAAAGTGGGCACACGTGTTTTCATTTACCTTCAAAAATGTTAGGTCTTATTCTTGTAGCAATGTATGTTTCTGAAATTGACTTAAAGCTGTCTTCAAAATTAATTCCCCGTTATTACTTTCCGAAAATTCAAGAGGAAATTTAAAAGATTACTCATACGAGAAACGAAAAATATTTTTATCCCATTTTGACGTTTAAAAATGACATTATTGAACGCATAATAACAAAGGTAAGTAGACGTTTATCACCTGAGTGACCTAAAATATTTTTAACTCACTCTCGGTCTTTTAAGTCACTCTGCCAGTATAAAAATCTGCTACAAATACAAACAAACAACTAGTTATACCCTAGCAACCACCAATTTCAATAATTAGCGCTTTCATAAAGACTAAATGAATTCTCTTTATAATTTGATTCCTTTTAAGTACCTACCTTATTTTTTAAATTTCCATGAAAATGGGATAAAATTTTGTATACATCATGTGAGTTAAAAAAAATGTTTATTCATTCGAAGAAAATTAACCCACTCGGTAGGGCTCGTGGGTTAAACTTTCTTCTCATGAATAAACATTCATTTAACTTACTTAGTGTATAAATAACTATTAAGTTCTCCCGATGGAAACGAAATCCGAGGTAAACAAAAAACAAAATACCAATTTCATTATTAATGCCTTCCAAATAGGACAATAAAAGCTAAAAATTTTAGCAAAGCTCTTAGGCAATTTCTCCTTGTCTACAAATTATTTGTTTAGATTAAGAAATCGACAGTTGCTTTTACATCCATCAGGTTCTAGTTTACTTAGTGCCAGTTCTTGTTCATATCCCTTCCCAATATATTACGGGCCAATTTATCTTGGGAATTAAGTAACTAGAGGGGTTGGGGGCTCTCTCTTCGAATACTGCTAGGCTTTGGAAACTTGAGCGTGAGACAGGAAATTCGAAATTACGAGTTCACGAAACAAAAAGTAGATCAAAATTCTAGTATCTAGGAAACTGAGGCAATTTGTCATCAAGTGGCTAGACGATTCATTAATTTTTCAACATTAGAATACTCAACTCGTTGTGTAGCGCAATTTAGAATTGTATAATACACAAATCTCCATTACTTTTACGATTAACTACAGAGGCGAGCGGCGAGCGCAGAATTACTCAGCTTATAACATACAAATTATTGATTTATGTTTGTCAGATTTGTTTAAACAACAAGAAAGGAAACTTTGTACATCATTAAAAAATCGCATAATAACTCAATCCTACTTAATACGAGGTAGTCAACATAACTCATTTTTCAATTCAAATTCGCGTATATCTTTTCACCATTTTGCTTTTCATGATCGGTAGTGCTTCATTGAATTCTTTCGAGGGAAATTCTAATTAACAGAGAAAAATACTCTCTGTCTCTCCGCCTGTCCTTCCTCTTTTTCGCACGTCTTGCGAATTATTAAGTATAATGAATAATACTAAATTTGTCAAAAGAGGAACTCCTGAACTCTGCTCGAATGTTACGAACTCTCATTTCTTTTCAAACTGATTCTCCCTCAATCGTCATGTATTCTCCTCTGTTGCCAGACTGCTCTGTGTATTTACTTATTCCCGAGGTTTGTATGCTGCTCAAAACGAAAGATCGCCTGTTAATCCGCACTATTAAAATAATATAAATTCAAAAAGAACCATTTATAATATACATATAAATACGTATATTCGAAAAAAAAAGGTATCCTAACATTTGTTTTATCTTTAAACGAAGCTTCTCATTAGTAGAATAATTTTTTTGTAGATCAAGAGAGTGATATGTATGTGTTTGCGTTTTATTAGATTCTATTGGATAAGTCTTCGAAAAATGTCTCGATCGTTTCATTCTGGTATTCTGTCCCCAGGTATGTTTTTCCAGAATTTCCAATTTGGCCTTAAATAACCCAATGATTATTATTTTTTTTGTAAACAAACGAAAAATTTTAAATTTCACGTACATCACATGTTTTTATACTCTGAAATGTCTGCTTTGAGGTTAACCAAGTACGTTCGATAACAGACCACAAGTATAAACGTCAAGTTCAGAAATTACAGGAAACTACCTTAAGATTCGTTTCGCCCCGCTAGATTCTCTTCACCCTGGTTGACATAACAGTGGCGACAATGGGGAGTTAGCACCGCCCAGCCGCCATGTTGTTGCAAACTTTAATATTTGCGACATAGCTGTAATATGGCGTTAAAAAGAAATTAATTTGATGAAACTTGTATAGAGATTGATGGTAAAACTGTTGCTGTCCTTTTCTATTTGCCTGTGTTAAACAAAGAGGCAGCTAATTGGTTTGCTCGCTGCGCAATAAACAACGTAGGAGTCCAATTCCTCCTTTTCGTGTTTATAAGCCGTTCTTTCCTTCTTTCCGGATTCCGTGAAAAGCGTTTCATCAAGAATCCCTTTTTTTTCAGAATTGCTGCAACGGCAGCACAACCTGGCACTGTTTTCGTATCCTAACGACCTAACCTAAAATTACAATATTGAAAATCCTTTAAATACCTTTAATTGTAGACTCCAGTACACATAAAACTATGGATTCTCACAGATTTCAAACTATTTTTTCATTCAATATTTGGAAATTCGTTTGACAATTTAGAAATAATGTTAATAATATTAGGTACTCACCCCCAATACAAAGTTTTTGAATCTGAACAAAATTGAGACGCCAACTGGAAATATCGCACAGATTAATGTTCAATATACAAAAGTTTCTATTGTATCTATGTATAATGAGCAATAATAACTACCAGAATCCAATTAATAGAAAATCACAAAATTCACAAAATAACAGCGATATTCTCATGAAAACAATGTAAACAAGAACGTTTTTGCAACAAGATGGCGGCAAATACACGAACCAATAAAAAATTGGTCCCTCAATTGTCGCCACTGTCTTGTATAGAGGCACTGTAGTTGACGGTAGCTGATATCGGTGGGACCCCTGCTGTATTGTTAAGTACCCTTTTCTTGGTGGAGTAATGTATAATTCCTTGATATATGACGATCTTTTTGTATAATAATTTCCTTTATACATACTTTAAACATAAGGTGCTAAGACAATCGTTAAGATTTCCATTTAACAATAATTATTGTACAATATCTTTGATACATTGCTATACCTATCAAGCGGATTTGTCTTGAATATTAATTGGAATGCAGGTGCATAGTGTTGCATAGCGGTAATGCATATTAAATTGCTGTTGGGTAAGTTTAACATGAAGTGAATGTGCGACGTCCCTATGTTTTTATTCAACTCTTACGCCCGGGCTCAGGAGTTTACTTGCTAATTTTCATTCTAAGGACGAGGAAAACTGAAAAAACAAAAAGCATTGTGTGTCCCGTGGGAAAGTAAATGAAGGGAAGGTGCAAGTGGTATCGTTTTATCAGAAAAATGATGTAGTTCAATAATTTATATGGTGACACGGTCACAGATGTTGCATTTTGTTTGGAATACGTCAAACAAGATGGCCGCCATATCAATATAAATAATGTGCCCTATCGTCGCTGCTATTCTACCAATTTTAATTTTTTTTAGCTTGTTAGATAGGTAATGTGAAGAGGAAAACAACATATTTTTGGAAATATTGCGAAAAAACAACAATATTTTGGTTGCTGGTTGGATTTGAAATGAACACATTGAGAAATATTGTTGGTGTTTTTATCAAAAGAAAAATATGGTCTACGTTATAATAGTTTATGTATTTTAAGAAATTTAAGTAATATATTTGCACATAAATTTCAATAAAATTACGAATCAGCCGCATCACTATCATCTTCATCACTATCTTCATCGGCAAAATCCAGTTGGATACAAATTATCACAAGCTGAATGATCCACATTACAACTACACATTTCTGTGCAAGACATATTGTTTGCTAAACATTACATGGTGATGAACATCGATTTTTCAGACACGAACATTTAATTAGTCGATGACGAGATTCTGGAGCACATGGCTCTTCAGACATGACAGGGGTAAGCACTCCCTCTTAGAAACACCAGCCCTTTCCAACTGCATTTGGTTCGTCATGCGGGTACAAGGGAACCTTTAGTGAGGGGTAACTTATCTCCAAGGGCTTGTTTGGCTGTAAACATTGACCACTGTCATTCTGCAAGTGATCTTGTGTTGTAGTGCTTGCTTTATACAACCAGCAAATAAATATTTCCAGCTGATACAAGACATCATCAGGTAGGTACTAATTCACTGGCACCAAGTTTCTGCAAGGGCAAGGCAGTAAGTTCTACTTTACTCGCTGAAATAAATGAGTTGCGTAGTAATGCGGACCATTCAACTTGTGATAATTTGTATCCACCTGATTTCGCCGACAGAGAT